AATCAATTAACAAACGGAGACGTAACAGTATTATATAGGTACATCCTATAATAAATAAGATTTAAGTTTTACATAACACGGTAAATTTTTTAAATGTTTAATTTTGAATATGCGTCAGTTCCTAGGTTTTTTACTCTGTACACAACCGTAGTGTAAAAGAGAGTAACCACTTATTTCACAAAGATTACTCATAAAAAATTAAAACATTCCATAATTTACCAACAGCTGGCATGGTCAAGGAAGGTTTGATTGGTGCAAAATGAATACAGAAATAAAACAAATGAAAATCATAAAAATATAAAAGGAAATTGTAATTTAATCTTATATATATATATATATATATATATATATTAGTAAAGGATCGAAATTAAATAAAGAATGAAACGATACCTAAAAATCACTTAGTTCATCTCATCTAGTTACAGCACATGGTTTTATTGCATAAGTTTTTTTGTGGAGTTGTACGAAGTTCGTGAAACGAAACATCGTATTTAATATTAACTTAAGTTTAACTTTACGAACAATGTCTACATCTGTTAACAATCAAAATGAGTAATGTTTAAATACTTCGTATCTTAGTATATGATCTAAAGCATTAGACAATAGTGGTTTTTATATATGGGTGTATTATTACTATTATGTTTAAATTTAAAACTAGAAGTGAAAGTAGCAGTAACGATAGTGATATTACTATAGTATTAAGTATTACTATTAGTAGGCTTAACTTAAGCCGTAAAAGTTACGGCCGTCTTACTCGTTATATTTACAGTGTACAGTGCTACATTCCTTTTGTAACTTTGCATTAATGTGGTAAAATTACCTAAATTTGGGTTTTCGACCGATCAGAAACTAAAATAAATAAATTTCCTGGTTAAAAGTTGACAAATATCAAATTACTTATTTTCTGTGGTCAAAGAAATATCAATAACTATAAGCAATTTTAAAAACATTGCATTTTATTTTTATGTTTAGCTTACGTAACGTTAAAATTATAAATTCAGTTCAATAGAATCGAATAATATACATACTTAATGTAGCTTACAAGTTAATTTTTTTTTTTACTTGCCTAACAAGTTAAATAACAAAATTAAAGGCAATACCATTTTGTGACTGTTTTTTTCCCCCTGGATGTTCTAATTGTGTATTGTGACTTGTTTTTTTTTCATGAAACAGTGAAAGTGAAACCAGAACTTCAAAGTTCAACACAGTATTGTAAGCCACTCATGTTAAATACTCAAACTCAAAGCTTTGACCCTTGTTTACAAGTTTCATCTCTCGTTGATATTTCATAATCTTGTCCCGTACTTTGCTATTCTGTGTCTTGTATATTTCTTTCCCCCTTTCAACTGATACCACTGTTAGATGAATACTGACCAGGGCTTCATTTATATCAGTTAGCAGTAGTGATAAATGGTGGCAGGCCTCCCAGTGAACTTGATAAAAACCTATTGGTTACATATATATATATATATATATATATAT